ATAGATTGAAATATCTTTCCACGATAGCTTTCTTGAGTATATTGGAGCACAATTGATAGTTTGAATCATTTGTTCATTGTGCCTCTCAAATTCTACCAAAAATCGAGCTTTGATCGATTTCGCATATTCCGGTTTCATTCCTTTGGAAATTGATTTTAATTTAGCTTTCTTGTTCAATTGAGCTTTATATTACTGCTTTGAATTCTTGTATGCTCTTGTCCTTAAAATTATTTGCATTCTTGAAAACTATTGTGTAACGTTTATGCTATATCGTATTGACTCATATAAGTACATGTATATTCCATTGTTCCGTATTTGCTTTCGGTATGTGCCTATTCCAGTTTCCTTCCTTTGGACATTGAATTCATCTAACCTTCTTATTTGAATTGAGTTATATGTGATTACTTGGAATCCTTATGCTCTTGCTTTCATTTCCTTTCAAATCTGAATATAGTTATGAAAGATTATGCTTGCATCGTATTGACTCGTAAAGACACATGTACGTTTTGTTGTTCCACGTGTGCTTCCGATATGTGCTATTTATTGTTCATACTGTCCCTTTGTACTCTAGTGTTTGTGGGATATTGTAAACCTTTGCCAGAAATGGTAAAGGGAGTTATACATAGAGCCTGTGATGCTCTGCCAGCCCCCTATGACTTCACTCAGACATAGGTGGATGGAGCTCCCAAACGTGAGAGACTTATGTTTGGCGGTCATTTAGAAATGGATATATCATATTATGTTATGGTCTCACTTCACCTTCTATGTGTTTGATATGATATCCAGAGCTTTTATTATGTGTTTCTATATGTTCTTTGGATGAGAATGATATGAATGTAACGTCAAATTCGACGTTTGAGCTTTTGTTCCGTATTCGTTCTTTGATATGTTCCGAAATGATTCATATGTCGTTGATATGCTTTGAAATATTTCACATACCATTGATATGTTCCGAAATGTTTCATTCGTTATTGATATGCTCTGAAACATTTCATACGCCTTTGATATGCTCCGAAATGTTTCATTTGCTATTGTTATGCTCCGAAATATTTCATATGTCATTGATATGCTCCGGAACATTTTATATGCTATTTATATGCTCTAATTACTCTATGCTCCAATTATTCTATGCTCCATTTATTATGAACCAAATATGTTTTGAATGACATGACACATGATTTTGTATCTAATGAGATGATATCCTTGAGAATTATTGTATTCTGCCTTGCATTATGATACCTTACTTGTTTGAAATCGTTCCTTTTGTTTTGAATATATTTTGTCACTTGCTGAGTTGTTTTTAGCTCACTCCGTTGTTATATAAATCCTTCAGGTCAGCTTGTCACTCTTTGAGATGTTTTGAATTGGGTTAAGGCAGTGGAGAGCTATTCAAAATTATGGGCAAGTCTTGTTGGTTATTATGTTATTGTTGTATAAGCATATTTTGTATGTAATGAAATGTTGTCGATGAATCGAAATGGATATACCATGTAAAAGTGTTAGAAGATCTCTCTTATTTGAAATTTTGGAATGTTAAGTCTAGTTTACGATGATGTGAATATGTGGTAAATGATTAGAGTTCTGATTGTATAAATTACTTAGTTTATGGATTTATAAATATTGTTCATGTTTATTAAGTTGGTTTGAGTTGCCATAAATGTGAATTATCGAGTGATATGATATATGATTATAAACTGCATAGGTTTTATATATGTGAATTTGATAGAATATTTTTCATTATCCTCAAATGTTAGTTTGGATCCTGGATTGGTTTGTGATTAAAATTTTAATATTATTGATATTTTTGACGGTCGTGACACGTATGAGTTGGGAAAACGTAAGAAGAAACCTATCATAGTAGGAGACACAAGGTAAAATGTGTCCGAGATATGTAAGTCAAGAAAACTCGACCCATGTAATAAGAAACCCGTCATGGTGGGATGCACAAGACAAAATGTGCTCGAGACACGTGAGTTAGGAAAACTCAACCCGCTTAATAAGAAACTCGCCATAGTGGGAGGCACAAGATAAAATATACCCGAGGTGTGTGAGTCAGGAAAACATGATCCGTGTAATAAGAAATCTATCATGACAAAAGGCATAAGATAAAATATATCCAAGATACGTGAATCGAGAAAACCTGACCTATGTAAGAAGAAACCTATCACGACGAGAGGTACAAGACAAAATATACCTAAGGCACGTGAATCAAGAAAATTCGACCTATATATGAAAAAACTTATCATGATATGAGACACAAGACAAAATGTGCCCGAGACACGTGAGTCTAAAAAACCCAACCCGTGTAAAAAGAAACCCACCATTGCGGGAGGCACAAAACAAAATATGTTCGAGATGCATAAGTCGGAAAAACCCAACCCGCATAAGAAGAAAATGATCACAACGGAAGGCATAAGGCACAATGTGCTAGAGGTGCGTGAATTGAGAAAACCCGTCCTGCTTAATAAGAAACCTATCATGACAAGAGGCACAAGACAAAATATGCCCGAGGTGCACGAGTTAGGAAAACCTAACCCACGTAATAAAAAATCCACTACGATGGAAGGCATAAGATAAAATATGCCCAAGATGTATGAATCGAAAAAACCTGACTTGTAAGAAGAAACCCGTCATAGCAAGAGGCACAAAACAAAATATGCTCGAGACACGTGAGTTGAGAAAACCCAACACACATAAGAAGAAACTCATCATGATTATATGCACAAGACAAAATATGCCCGAGGCACGTGAGTCGAAAAAACTGAACCCACATAAGAAGAAACCCACTATAACGAGAGGCACAAGATGAGATGTGTCTAAGACACATGAGTTGGGAAAACCCAACCCGCATGAGAGTAAATATACCATGGTGGGAGACAGAAGGGAAAGAATGCCTGAAGCATGGAGGTAGAGTGACCACTACCCAACATAGTCGATCAGCTTGGAGGCACTTGAAAAAAAAAGGGAGATGCAAGCACCTCGGGCAGAGACGAACCCCCTCCGCCCGAGGTGGGTCCCACAGAGATGGGAGAGGCAGGTCAACAACGGGGGACTTCGCTGCATCCCTGCAATGGACCTATTACTCGATGTGGGTCCCATGATGATGGGAGGAGCCCACCTCAGCTCCTCTCACAGCCCACCGCATGGCAAGCGGAAGAAGAGGGACAAGTAGGCAACTGGGGGGCTTCGTAGCATTCCTATTATGGATCCACTACATGATGTGGTTCCCTCGGCAATGAGTAGAGGAGGAGCCCACCTCGACATCACATGCAACCTGCCTCGACTCATCTCGCAGCTCGCCTCAATAGTGAGCAAAAGAAGAGAGGTAAGTTAGTGACAGGGGGCTTCGTAGCATCCTCGATGTGGACCTATTGCCTAACATGGATCCCTCAGGGATAAGCAGTGGAGGAGCCCACCTCCACACCGCCTATAGCCCACCTCAACTCCTCTCGTAACCTGCCTCCGCGGCGAGCAAAAGAAGAGGGGCAAGTCCACAATGGACCACCGCCAGCAACATTTGCACCCCTTGCTTGTGGTCCGCATCGAGGCGTGGAGGTCGGGAAACCCATCTAGGTCGAGAAGAAATAGGCCCCCTCTACCTAAGGTGGGTCCCTTTATGATGGGAGGGGTAGGTTAGCGATGGATTGTCTCCAGTAGCGCTCACAACCCTCAGCTACAGTCCTCGCCGAACTATAGAGGTTAAGAAACTAGACCCCCTCTTTCGCTTGAGCCAGGGAGGTCGGGATCCCCGATCCCCTCTCCCGCTTGAGGCGTAGAAGTCGAAAAACTCAACAAGGTCAGGAAGAAATAGACACCCTCCATTCGAGGTGTGACCCTCGGCGATGGGAGGGGTAGGTCAACGATGGACCGTCACCAGCAGCACTCACACCCCTCTCTTTTGCCCAAGGCATGGCAATTGGAAATCTTGACCAGGTCGAGAAGAAATGAGCCCCCTCCACTCAAGATGGTTCCCTCGATGATTGGAGGGGTAGATTGGTGATGGATCGCCACTAGTAGCACTCGCACCTCTCACCTATCATCCTCACCAAGCTATAGAGGTCAAAAACCTAACTCTACCCTCCACGCCCGAAGGAGGGTCGAGTTCATGTCGACAAGGATTGATCTATGACCGAGGAGGGCCCATCAGCGATATGCGACCCCTTGTTGAGGGACGGAGGTCATCGATTCAAGGCGCTGGTCAAGCGCCCCCTTATCCTATCAGTGTCTGCCTAATATGCAAAGTCGGAGAACTAATCGAAGAGGCAAAAGTTTAACATATCAGATGAACTGGACACTATACTTCAGATCCCTCTTGTGAGAGCCTTCGAAGCACGCCTAAAGGAGTGGGGACAAATGATAAGGAGAACATCATCAATCACGTAATATTCAGGGTGGACGAAAAAGATGAAAGCCACCCTCTACTTATCTACCCACGTGGACAAAGGTTCAAGACAGGTGGTTATGGAATGTCCCCCCCTTATCACCCGCTTGGATAAAAGATCGAGATTGTTAGAGGCAATCAGAGGTTGCCTCCTCAAAGATTATTTCATGAAATATTCTACCTGTTTACGATTAGGTATAAAAACATCTTTGACACAATGAAAAAAGATCACGTCCTCACTCACATATCTCAAATTACTAATTCAAATATTAAAAGGACTTGGTCGAGAAGTAAAAGCATCTTTGAAACAATGAAAAAAGATCACTTTCTAACCACTCATCCTCACTCACATATCTCAAATTACTAACTTACATACCTCTATATATATATATATATATATATATAACCACTCGCATCCTCACTCACATATCTCAAATTACTAACTTACATACCTCTATATATATATATATATATATAGAGAGAGAGAGAGAGAGAGAGAGAGAGAGATAGATAGATAGAGAGAGCAATGATTAACTAGTGACAATCTCAAAACTTAATGGACACAGAATATTAAATCAGTGATGATAATCTCACACAACATTTTCTGTAAATTTCAGCATGGAATACCAAATGAATTCTCTCGGTTCTTAAAATATATCTAATAAATCATGATACATAACAAAGCAGTATAGATCAAGCATTGTAGGCATGAGAAGATAACCTCTGCGTCCACCGCATTTAAATTTGAGAATACACTCGATATGATGTGAAACTGATTGGATCAGTATAAAAAAGGCAAACCCACTTGGCCGATAACAACCATTTTGATCTACACAGCCTGCTAAATGGACATACTTGCAGACCAAATCTATATCTGATCAGCTGAATATACACTACGTCAGAAAAATTCTTCCATGATAGGCTTCCAAGCCAGATTTGGCTCTGGAATCAATCTGAACTTGCTATTATGGATTCTGGAGATGTGCAACAAAAAATTTCAACTGGTGTATTATTACACAATCTTCGTATCAATGATGACCATCTTGGAGTTATTGTGGAATATTTATATGCTATTATCCAACTCCCAGATCACCACTTTCCCATCCAACCCTGCAAGAAATAAAAGACTTCTGAATTCTGACACAAGTGACCAACAAACTTTAAAAAATAAACCTAAATTTTCTAACCTGATGTACTGAAGCGTCTCACGATCGTATCACCAGGTTTTCTCAAAGGAACAATACAGCTGAAATCACAATGAATATGTTTGAGCACAACCTTCTTCAAAAGAAGGCTGGAGAGGTGCAGCAAAGGATATCTCAATGGCATGATATATAAAACTACCTTATGCAGTTTTCATGAGCCCCGCCCCGCGGCCGTGATGATTCAACTGTGTCAGAATTGATTGCTGGTTTTGACTGACCATACAACTTGCCAAAGGCTTCAGAGAACTGGGAAAAGTAAACAATTTATTATTATTAGCTAGGTATACAAGAAGCTAGTTAATTTCAAGAATTCTACCTGACATATATTGCCCATTATATCTAATTTAGATCAGGAAAATATATGGTGGAGCTTAAGTTATATATTAGATGGTACTATATTGACTATGAGCTTAACTATATATGGTCTATTTTTGAAAGCATATGTAGCTTAGCCAGAGGCTTTGTTAGCGCTTCAAAAGTTTACTTTCTCTCCTCTTTCTTCTAAAACACATAATTACATATAAATCAAAGGTAAAGGTCAACAAAGAGTTACAAAATAGGAGAACAGGCAACTAACCGGATTTCATTCTTGTGATAGATTCTTAACAATTACAGTTCATAGGTTCTCTAAAAGATTGCAGTCATGAATGACTACAGGATTTAAAGGTCATTGGGTATACAAGTACAAACTTGGGATCAAAGAATTCAAAACATTCAATTCTCAGTATAGCTGTACTGTCAGTCAAAGGAACACATACCTATCAACTGTGGACATTAAATTTGAAACAAAAATACCATTTTTCACATAGATTACAGAGAAAAGAAAGAAACATACAGATTTGGCTGCATTCGGAAGACCATGAGAAAGAGTGATGGTAAACTAAGTCTTTATGGAGATCAATTGATGAGAGTGTAACAGAGTATTTGTATATCTTAGTACAAGAGGATTAAACTCATTCCTTAGTTTGTAGGAATAGGATCTTCCCCAATACCTGTGAACCATATTTAGAGCTTGATGGTGCTATTTTCTTCTCATCTAAGAATTTTACAAAGCTCCTGTTACAACAAAAAAAATCACACAAAACAATAATGAGGAATCTCAAGTGCACCATAGAGCACAGTGTACAAGCAATGCATATTATATCAAATACAATAACTTTTATTGTTTTACTGCAATAATCCCATTTACATTAGCAATAAGGTTACTTAGCTTTGGCTAATATTATGAAACAAGTTTATGGCTAGTTTTGTGAAACAAGCATACCATAGTCCTGTTTCATCTGCAGTGAAAACCATAGGGTTGCAGTCGAATCCAACACCAATAACCAATTTCTCAGAGACAAAGAGGATCTGAAAATTATGTCAGCCATTGGTACATAAGTTCAGCTTATGCTTGAGAAGAACATAGATACTGTAAAACAAAGTAAAGGGAAAATGCTGACCCACATCACGTAGCGGCAAATCACGCAAGGCTACATTTTGTGCTGAAGGAGACGAACCCACATCTTCAATGAAGTATATCATAGAGTTGTGACCTACAAGTGAAAAACCAAATGGCAAATGTTGGGTCGTAAAAGAAAATTAAAATAGATTCAAGAGAAGAAAGTGGTGAATTACAAACTGTAACAGCAACTTATTTGATATATACTGTATCATGGTTAGTGAAATTAGGTATTCAAGTGATTTAACATGTTTTGCAGGGATGTTAAAATTGAACAAAGCTATTATTCATTTGGTGAAATAAATTTGTAAGACCTGAATGGAACAAAAGGAGTGTAGACCAACCATAAGTTTCTGGAGAAAAAAGTCATGCAGTCCAACAGTGTCTTTCTTTATTGAAGAAAAATATCAGGGCCCCAGTGAGCTTGTAAATGTGGTAGAATTTTAAATTTTACCTTACTGGCTAATAACTGTTCTCAAAGACAAATAAAAAAAAGGAAATAGATGCAACCTTAAGAGAGAGCACAGCAAAGAACACATACAGAGCAATGAAGAGTTTTATCCTACAGAAAACATAGTGTAAACAGGAGCCATTATGACCCCAGCATAAGAAAAAATATCTAATCCGTTTTCCAAATGTATTTAAGGATAATATTAGTCAATTAAAATTCACAAACAACTTTGATAAACAACTAAATGAATACAATCTCCCATTACCAACACATAAAGATGTTAAAAACACTTAAAAGATGCAAATTTATTCTATCAAAAATCATAAAAGAGACGAATAATGTAAAATAGACACATATTTGAGGGAGAGTGCATCCTATGTAACAATGTGTGCAGAACAATGAAGAGATTTGTCCTTGGATAAAGAAAATAACTATTGCCATCAATAAAAGAAGACTTCAGTTAAGACCATGAGTACATGACCATAGAAAGATTAAACTCTAGAACCTGTTACAAATTTATCCGGGGATCACACTGATCAACAGTCACATTAATCAACAAGATCCAGGAACAAATAAAAAACTATCTCCCACTAGTGGAGTATTGATATGCAAAGAAGACCTAGCAACTCTAACCTGCATAAGCCAAGGTATTGCCACTTGGAGACCACCTCACACCAAATGCCCATGTAAACGAAAGATCAAGTTGTGCAATTTGCTGCTTTCAGGAATACAATAAAAATATCAAGTAAACATCAAGTTCCCAGAAAAATCTAAAACAATAAACTCCACAGTAAAAATAAAGTTCTAAAAGACATGAATAATTATTCACAAAAAACGGACAACTTAATAAAGTATATTTCAAGATAACCACTAAATGATATTCTGAGAACTCAGAACAAAGCTTAAATCAACAAAAATGTACGTTAAATTGGAGAAATACAATGATGCTTTCTTGAGTTTCAACTTTTATTTGATAAGACTTAGAAGCTTGGAAGAGAGACAAAGAACAAATGAGAGAGATTGAGAAAGTTTTGAGACATTGAGTGAAAGAGAGGAGAGAATGGTTGTTTTCAGGTGGGAAATGAAAAAATGGGAGAGTGCGGCACAATAGTACCTGGCATAGGTGGTGGTACCAGATCTAACCGGGTGAAATTGACTGGTCCATGTCTGCATCATAGTCGAAGCGGTACAGTTGGCATTTTTATTTCTGCTTCCTAGTAATTTTGTATACCGACCTCAACAGTCTCATGTCAACTACACAAATTTTTTATACTTACATATCAAATGTCCAACACCTTGATTCATATAGCATAGTTTACATGACAATCATCCTATAAAATTTTATTTTTACAGAGCACATGACTATCACATTAATGTCTCAATCTCCCTCTAAAGTTTTATCATCCATGATCCAACTTGTATTTTATGAAAAATATCCTTATCAACTTTCTCCATTTTTGTTCAATAGTGGATCCAACATAAGTCAAACTATATCTATTGGAATTTCACAATCCATCCTAAGTACATCATTCTCCTTTCAGTGCCAGTTAAACTATATTCTGTGCAGTCAATCTTAGTCTTAATCTAAATTTTTCGATCTCCAATGTTTGCCTTTATTGCTGAAGTTTATAATTAATATCATTCAAATTCTTATCGTTTAATACAATATCATCAGCAAATAACATATGCTATGAAACTCTATCATATAAGAGACTCGTAAGTTTGCCCATTATCAATATAAATATATAAAGACTTAAAGCTAATCCTTGAGGTAACCCTTATAGTTATATGAAACTCACTAGATTTATTCTCTCCAATTCTAACACCAGTGACTACAATATCATATATATAGTTTATGAAATCATTAAAAAAAAGTTGAAGCAAATATCAAATAAGATAATTTAAGGCATACACTTAATTTCAGGACATGCCATGTGACAAGTGAATGTTAGGCAGGTTAGGCAGGCACTTATAGTCTGGCATTGTATGGCAATACATCATTCCATGCTGGTCAAGAGCCTAGCTTCATGCCAAGAAAAAAGGATTATCCATGCCAATCCTTTGTAATCTTTAGTTATGATGTCTGCATGCAGCAGCACAAACAGGCATGACCGAGCACACCTAAGCTGCAGAGGTGCATGCACACACATCCTTGCTGCCCATGTTTTCTTAACAAGGTCAGCACAAACATCCAGGAGGAAGGCGTAATCAAACAAACAATATAAAAGAACATTTACAAGATTTGTTCAACTAAAAAGAATAAATTGGAGGATACAAACCTCCCCAAACTTTAAATTGCTAGAAGAACTTGCTCCTGATTCCCTGACACAAGTCAAACAAAAATAAGCTATCTGTATCTTCTTTAAAGCATCATTTAGACTATCACTAAGTGTCCATACCAACCTTGAGTCTACACCTTTGATGAAAGTGGAAAAAACCCGACACTTACCATCAGTAGATGTTGTTGCAAGAAGAATCTGCAATCACAAAGCCAAAGATGAATTCAAACAAGCACTGGAAATTGTTCTGTTCTTACAGTGACAAGAACCATCATTCTTTTAGTTCTGAGAATAGATGTAAATAACAAATATGCATGCTGTAAATTCCCTAAGTTTCATGAGTGCAGTTGGAAACCAGTAAACCAACTGTTCTAACTGCAGCTTTCCTTCTTTTACATGTTATCAATCGTCACATTGCAACCCAAGCAAAAACAAGAAGAGGAATGTGCTAAATCATGCTTGTGCCATTTCAGTGACATAAAACCAGATTCTAGTTCACATAAATAGCAATTAGGAAGAAGGTATGTATATTTTAACAAGATGCAGTCACAATATAACAAAATAGCCTGAAGTACTATGTCTATTCAGCTAATTTGATCCGTAGGTACTCGAAGTCAATAACACCAACATGCGGGAATGCAGAGTACTGGAAGTCCATGTTTTCCTGATATACATTTATAAAGGCCCTAAATATGAACAAGCTAATGATCCAATATCATTGTTCTACATGTATTACAAGAATAGAAACCCAGAAGAAAGAAGGATAAGCTTTTATTGGACTATTAAATTAAAGTTTCAAGTTTAATGTTTCACAACAATGATGATATGTAGTTGTTCTATTCTGATTCTAAAAGTCATACAGACAAGATAGTCCATCTTTACGCACTGTAATTTCTCATTTACATTGACTCTCAAGGTAGCCCAATTGTTCTACTTAAATAGATGTATGCCTGAAGGATCGGGCATGATAAATTGACTTTTGTGGTGTATATAAATTATTTGTGAAATCTTCTGTATATGTCAAACATCTCACCTTTTGCTCTTGTTCTTCCACATGCACACTCACAATTCAAAATTATAAGTATCTATATATAAGCTGGAGAACATTCTAAGGATTAAATATTAATTTGACAGGAAAGTAAACAGAGATATCACATTTTAAAAATGTCTAGAAGTTGAACTAAAGTGACCAATTTAAACAACTCCAAACTACAACTTTTCAGCATTTTAGCTTGGATAGAAAAAAGTTGCAACTCATGATAAAACAAATAAATAGGGTCACGAACTTACATTGTTAGGATGCCATGCAACACTTGTAACTGAAGAATTGTGTTTTTTCCTGATAAGTTTACTAACCCACCTAAATGAAATAGCATGTAGTGTAAGAAACTAAATTCAGCTTACAGGATCAAAACTAGTTAGACAATACAATGAGTTGTATGGCTAACCAAAGTAACAATTTTCAGTAAACATTGAATAACAAATATAAAATAGTTGACACTGTCTGAGAAGATGGAACGTTCTGTATGTTGACATGACTAAACACCAAGGAAGAAAGAAAATCATTCTAAACCACTTTGAAAGTTTGAATTGTGAAACAAAACACTAAAACAAGATACTGAAATTGAATGTTCTAATGAAACAATTTGTTGGCACTTTATGTTAACATATCCTTGTGCCAAAGTGTATTGGCTGCATTTAGTTTGTGGTTAAGTAGGGTTGAGTTGGAGATTATTGGTCTGTTCCACTAAACGCTACAAAGTTAAGAAAGAACGAACTAACTATTCAAGGGGGTTATCCAGATAATCTAGGATATAATAGCTCAGCGATTGTGGGGTAAAATAGCTCTCTTGCTTTCCGTTTTTCCTTTTAACTTAGATACTCCAATCTTTAGCAACCAAACAAAAATAGAGAGATGGAGTGAGTTAACAGGAACGGGACAGGATGACCCAATTCAAATGCAGCCACCGAGTCATGTGAGCAATGGGACATAAACTAACCTACTAAGTCCTCCCATTCTAAACAAGCTGCTATGTCGACAAGAGAAACTAAAAAAGCATACAGTGCAATGATTCCAACAAAAGGCATGACAAACCTTTTGTTTTTCATGTTTTTACCATAATCAAGTAAATCAAGTAGCTACCTAGTTAGCACTCAGAACAAACAACGTAAAAGAATTTCAGCTCAGCCTTATTTTCAAAATTGAAGCAATCATGACACCGGAACTGTACCAACTCAACCATCAATTGGTATCAAAACCGGATTCCTTGCATTTGATAACCATTCTTAGCTAGGTATCAAGATTTAACCATGACTAGAAAACGAAGTTACATTTTCATTCACACTTTTTGTCTATGTGGAGGCTAAGCCATTTTACCTAATCCAGCATTGTTCATGTTGAAATCTTCAGAAAATAAGTTGTACTAAGTAAAACAACTTCAACATGGATTCTTTCCTCCAAAGTGCCAAATGTGCCTATGGCTTACCCCATATTCCTAGCAAACTGGCTTTGAGATTGATTTAGCAGTGATACTGGGTCAAGAAGGCTCTGATGCTACATCAACTCCACATGAGACATTCTGATCAAATGTTATATGTAATCTACAGAATTTCACTTATAAGTTATAAATTAACAACCTTCTCTGGACTACATTGAAAACTAATGCAGCTTAAGACAAAGATATGCTTGATGAGACAATACCAATTTTAAAAAAATTAATAGGACACTCAACCAGCTGTTAACAAGACTAGAGACAGGTGGTCCACTCTCCATCAGAGATGCAATCACCCCACTTAGAAATCATTTTTGTACTTTTTAATTTATAAAAATTATCTAGGAGATGCAGACTCGTAGATCCTCTATAAGTTGATGGATATGATACTTTCTCGTCAACAATAAATAAACATGTGAAGATAGTAAGCACCAAATAAAACAAAGATTATTAACCAGACACCGGACAATTTCCCAAAAAACTAAAGCAAATGTATTCATGTGTACAAGTTCACAAGCCACAAATAAGAAACTACATGAAACCAAGGATAGTAATTTTGGGTACTATATCCATGCCGGTCATTAGCTAGACCAGAAGGGGAAGGAGGAGAAAAGAAAAGGAGGAGAAGGAAGAGGAGAAGGCGAAGAACAAGAGGGGAGGATGAGGCAAAGAAGAGGGGAGGAGGAGGCAGTTAGAGGAGGATGAGGAGGAGGCAGCAGCAGAGGATGATGAGAAGGTGGAGATGGCGGAGGATGAGGAGGAAGTGACAATGGAGTAAGAGTCGGAGGAGCCGACAGGCCAAGGGCAATGTAGGGGGAGAGAGAGAGGTTGATAAAGGGTCTTTACAGTTAAAAAAATAAGCTTACCGATCCGATCCAGGCCTGTTGACACCTGAACCAGTTAGCAGATACTTGATATGCAATCGACATTTAGCACAGTAGTTGTACCAGAATATACAGCAAACATATTTGACATGCAAATGTTCTAGTTAGCATGGTAGTTGATTACTGCATATAGATGATGCAACAAACAGAATGAATGAACATGAAAGCCCATTACCAGTTATTCTCTTTCTCGTAGTAACATATGCATACAGTTTTAGCACCACTTCCGACAGCAAACTTGTTCTCTGAGAAGTGCATCGATGAGTTAATAAAAGCTAGAGAGAAGGTACATTACATTATACTATGAAACCAATACCTTTATCTCTTCAGAAAAAAAAAATAATATAAAAAGCTGTTGCCTTTTACTAAATCAGATCTACAGTAATTTTATACCCAAGTTTCTTGTTAGTTTTGAGCAAAAGATTCCACTATGTATAAATTACAATTTCATAGATTGCAATGGTTATCAAACTAATTGGAAATTCAATTTGGATGAGGCTTTGTAATCTTGTGGTAATTGGTAAACTGAACGGTAAAACAGTAGTCTCACTTCTTTCATTCAAGTCTCCATTTGTCACTCTTATCTACATCGACCATTCAACTTGAGTAGCAGTTAGTGGATAGAGTGAATATGACAATAAATACAAGTCTTTCTCCCTCATTTTGCCATTCAGTTGAATATACATCAAACAACCATGCAATGGAAATTGCGATAAAGACTTGGACAAGGCTCATCTTAACACAATCACAAGGATAATAAGTCTATCTGATGTGTAGCAAATCACGAACAAGATCACTAATCATTAACAGACAGCAAAATAAAAAGCAGAACGTGCATCTGCCACCTTGTTCTACTACCTTTAGGACACCATTGAACACAGAGGGCAGCACGATTAAGCCTGAGAATAACAAGGGTGGGCACCCACTCAGATGCTTCTTGATTCCAAACATATCTGAGATTATAAACATCAAAAGTAAGCAAACCTGGATTCATTAGTAACATCACCACATACATGCTTAACATGACAGAATAAAATCTTTACAGGAAAATACTCACGAATTTCGATCATGTGAGACAGTTACAATTTTGTTAGATCTTACGCTCCAATCTATTCCAGATACAATTTGATCATGCTGTAAAACATAAAAACATGGCAACAAGTAAGTGGCTATGAGCATGAGCAGTGCCCTAAATGAGATGATATACTACAGAACTCAAAATTTTAAATAGACAAAATTCTCTATTCTTATTCTTGCTAATTATTAGTCCATCCTTTTAGCATTTTCCTAAGTATGAGGCATAATCCCACCATTTCATGCTTGATGAGTAACACTCTGCTATGCAGAGAATAGGTGTTGAAATCAGAATAGTAATGTAGATATCCATCCATCAGTAGGGCATTTACATATATAAAACTTACAGCCATACACAAACTAGTAGGACTAACTATATACGCCAACTATGAATAAAATCCTGAATCCCAGCTTGGTTAATCTAGGCTTCTTAAATTTAACACGGTTGGTAAAGGCCTTCCTCATTCTATAATGGCTTATGCTGCTCCAAATGCATAGTTGTGCATGTCTAAGTGTTGCATGATTATTAAGTTCATTGTAACGATTTGCAATATGTTGAAATGCATCATTTAAATGCAACATGGATACTGTAATCCTCTCGTACAACAAAGAAGCTTCGTGACAGCTTGAAGTATATTCTTGTAATCAGAAAACATCATCATAATGTTAAATAATTTAAATCCTAGTTAACTACATGAAAGTCCCAGGTCTTAAAAGGAAAAGATGATCATATGCTTCAAAGATCACAATACCTTTTGAAGTACATGTACCCTTTCCCACTTTTCACCAAAAAGTTTGTAGATATGCACCTCATGATTATTTGGACAAAATGCAACCACTGCAAGAGAAAATGGTGTTAGGTCATAATCTTGGACACATAAGGCACACGATTTTACTTATCAATACTTCATGACAGTGCGTTATTAATCAAAATAACTAAAAAAGACAGATGACTGAATCCAGAACCATCAAGATGGATGGAAAACAAAGAAAAATCATGATGTAGGAGGCTCTTTGTAGACCTATCAATGGAAGGAAAATTTTAAGCATGTTCAACATGGCATCCTATTTTCACTATATCAAACCTCTCCAACACCATCCAAGTCAGTCCTAAACCTTATATCACAGGTAGAAATTGATAAAAGTCCAACCTTAATCAATCATCAGAAATCTGAAATTTCTTTTTTCAATCATACATCTAGATCAGTGTGAGAAATTTCACAATTATTTATTTGTTATTCAGATGGGATGAAACTAATATAGAAGACAATAGAAGGCCTACTCATGTTTTCTTCTTTGAATGAACATGGTGAAGATGAGACCAACAATCATCAGTTTACCAAAAACATACAGCAGAGTTTATTAAATAAAGAGGTGGGAAAGGATGGTTCTAACAGATAGAAAGAACAGTTATATTCTTTTAGAATGGAAAAAACCAGAGCAGTGCAACAATAATTCTTTCCTTCAGTATAATATATCTAGATCTATTTAAAGTTTCAACTCTTTGAGCAGTCAAGCACTCCAAGTTATCATGACCATACTGACCATTAAAATTTTATATTTCACTGTTGTTTTATTATTTAATTCTCTCAACAAATCACTCCTTGGTTCACAATAATCCATATTTTCGGATGCCCATCAAGCAACTCACGTCATACCATGCCACTGAATGCAAATAAACACTTGGCAAAGTAGTTCTGAACTATAATCAAGAACCTTGACGAGGCATGTTATGAATAATCTAAAGCCTCTAAATACTTTTATGGAAATTACAGTTGAAAAATGGAGCATCAAGTTTATACCCATCACTCAGAATGGAAATTTCTGGTAAGAAATCAATCAGCCAGAAGAAGACACCAATTACCAGAGATTGGCTTACCTCTGCCAGTCTCCTTATTTCTCTAATAGATGTAGCAGAAATGAATCTCACACGATTTGTCCATGAATCTCAGAAATGTATTAGGCATATATACATTCAACTTAAGTCTAGGAACAAAGGGTCAAATGGACACATCTGGCATGCGGATGACAAAAGGAAATGATATTCTTTTGAAAGCAAAATCATGATAGAACTTAGTTCTAAGACAGATCCAACAATCTTCAGTAGAAAGAGAGGACAAACTTTTTTATTTCATTTTATTTTCTTTTCCTTTTCTTTTGGCAAAAATGGTCGAATAAATGAATTTTGTTTATCAGAGACCAAAATTAGTGTCACCAGAAAGGATCACATGGATCAGAACCAATAAAAAGATTTCCCATGTCGCAATTAAAGGTGTACAAAACATAAAATAAGCTAAGCAAAACAACCGCAATCGTAAGATCATCTGATGAAGCCTAACAGGATAAATCTGGAATGCTGGGAGTTCCTGATCCAGCGCACGAACGGAAGGAAAAACATAATAGTACTAGGATTTACCTTACGCGAAACAAGCACTGATCCTACAGCAACCGCGTTCCCAGTTCAAGAACCCAATCGTAGATCCGGAAGAACAGGATAACAGGAAATGATAGAAGAGAGAGGACAAACGAGGAATTACTAGATTGATCGGGGCTCCAAGCATGGCAGGTGATGCACTGCGCGAACTGATGGATGGCCACCGCCGCCATACCCTAAATCACCACCTCCTACGCCTCCTCCCCGCACCAACTTCTTCCCCTTTATTTTCCCGTCCGAGAGAGGGATGTCTACAAAGGAAATCGTGATAGGGATGGATGCATCCAATCCTTGGAGGATTCGTCGTCGGGAGGTGAGGAAGGGGCGAGGAAGAGAAAGCTGGAGAAGCAAACACCCCCCGAAACCAAAAGCGATCTCAATTAGGAAAGCGAAAGCCGAGACTTGGATGTCTCACGCTTCTCCGACCCGTTTACTCGTGACCATCTCACTTACCCTTGTCGTCCTCGTAAGAACGGAGGGTGGGGGGGCCATGGTGGGTCCCGCCGCCATACTTTTCTTTTTCCTTTTTTTTCTTTTTATTTATCGTTGTTAGCTTCGTCATTACTCGAATGATTGATTATTCTCACTTTCATTGAAGTTTTAAGTTAGAATATTTGCATTTGGAATATTTTCTCCCTACTTATAGTGACCTTTCATATATGCTTCTCCCGTTAATAATGTTGTTCATTCAAACTAGTAGGTAAATCTACTAGTACCTAACTTGAATAAAAATTTATGCACAAATCTCAAATATTCAAAACATCCTTGAAATTTTTTTACATCATAATTTGGTTTTTTTTTTTGAATTTTAACATGTTTATTCTAATAATCAAATGGCCTGTTGGTGTGATTTGATTACCCATAAGGCATATGTGTGTCTTTTCTTGGATTTATGAGGATACATGTTATGAGCTTAAACTTGGAGGGATAAATATGAAGAAATATATATATATATATATATATATATATATATATATATATATAG